GCCCCTCCTGCGGCCGCTGCGGGGGCCGCCGCCTCTCTTCGGGCACCGGCCCGATACCCGCCGGGAGGGGAGAGGGGGGTGGCGGCAGGGGGCGGGCCGTGGACCCCGCCTCCTCCAGCACAGCCCGCTGAAGGGAAGAGAAGGTCTCGCGCTCTTCCTGGGGGCGCGCCGAGACCGAAGCCCAGAGCGCGGGGCCGGAGCGTGAGTGCGAGGTGACTGGACAGGTGTGAAGACGGGAATGAGGACGGGGGTGGCGAGAGTGTTCAGACTTCTTCAGGTTCCGCCGGGATGCAGGACTCTGGCGGCCCACTGGCGCGGGCACAGAGACTACACCTCCCGGAGTACTCAGCGGCAGCGAGTCTTTGCGCATGCGCGCCGCGTAGCCAGCTGGGCTTGGTGGCAGGGCTGCATCGCAACTCGAGCGGAGGACGGGGACGGGGGCGGGGCGTCCGCCTTCCAGAGCTGATGTGTCCTGGGGACGCCGTGACGCTGCGGCGTGCGCTCCGCAGCGCGGGAGTGAAGTCTGTCGAATTGCTTTCTAGCCTGGATACCTGAGTTCCAGGCCCTGCTGTTGTGGCGCTTCACAAGTCATCCAGCTGAAGGAGGAGGCCGGTTGAACTGACTCTTCTCAGGGTAACGTGTCCACTCCACCCCTGTTTTAGCTAGCTCCAGACCCTGGGGTATCATTCGAGCCTTCTCCGACATTGGAGGTGCTCAGTCCGGCAAAACAGGCCTCTGGGCAGTGTGTGGGAGGTGCGTTAGAAACGGGTGTCCTCTGCCCCTTTCCGCCTCCCGAGCATACAGGAAAGGGACCTGCCGCTGGCCTGCCCAGAGCTTCCCTCCCTCAGCTTGTGCCACCGGTTGCCTGTCGTGGGTCCTTAGGACTGGGCCCTTCGGGTCCAGCCTTTACTGCTGCAGAAAGCGAGCCACTCCATATTTACACAACAGAGTCCGGGGAAATAACCTGTTATGTGTAATTTAGCAGATTAAGTTGGATTTCTTGAATTTATTTTATTTATTTTTATTTTTATTTCTTGAGTTTACATCCTTTAAATCCATAATTTTCTTTTTTCATGGCTGAATCTGAGTTGTTTTCTGGATAGATTTGAGTATGGGAAAATACCAGTCCCTATGGTATGAAATCCTTAGGATGCTTATTTAGCAGTCTTTAAGTCATGGTACTTAAGGTTTTGTATAATTTGGTATGTTAATTTTAGGGATATTGGGATGGATAGGGCAGTTTAGATTTTGATGTCATTGAATAGTGGTCTCCTTTTATTAATTCAACAGATATTTATTGAGCACTCCCCTAGGCTCTGGGGATACCAACAATGAACAAAACGGGCACAAGTCTTTCTGCTTTTGGACCTTTCATTTTGGAGAGAGATAGACAGTAAGTCAAATGCCCAGTATGTCAGAAGGTGAAAATCCTTTGGAGAATAATAAAGAGAGATGATGACTGTGGGTGGGAGCTGCAGTTTTACAATAGCTTGTCAGGGAAGGCCTCACTGAAAAGGTAATTTTTGAGTAAAGAGTTGAAGGAAATGGGAGAGCTAGTTCTGTGGCCATCTGGGGGAAAGAAAGTGCAAAGGCCCTGCGGAAGCCTGTTGGTGTGTTCAAAGAGCCGCTGAGGAGGCCAGTAAGTTAGAGCAGAATGAAATAGTAATGGAAGAATTGTAGGAGATAAAATCGGACAGGAAAGAGCAGGGGGCAGATACTGTAGAACCTGGTAGGTTATTTTGAAAATTTGGGTTTTCATTGAGGGAGATGGGAAGCTATTGGAGAGTTTTGTCAGGGAAACACCATCATCTGAATGATCTTTTTAAACAAAATAGTGGTAAAATATATATAACAAAATGTGCCAATGTAACAATTTTTAAGTATACAGTTCAGTAACATTAATTACACTCCCTATGTTGCACAGCCATCACCACTATTTTTTTTTTTTTTAAGATTTTATTTATTTATTTGACAGAGAGAGCAAGAGAGCACAGGCAGGGGTAGGGGCAGAGGGAGAGGGAGAAGCAGGCTCCCCGCTGAGCAGGGAACCCAATTTGGGTTGATCCCAGTTGGGATCATGACCTGAGCCAAAGGCAGATGCTTAACCCACTGAGCCACCCGGGTAGGTGCCCCCATCACCACTATTTTTAAAATTTTTTCACCCCAAACAAATTGTAACTAACTGGTTAATTAAGCAGTAATTCCTTATTGCCCCCTCTGCCTAGCTCCTGGTAACCTCTAATATAATCTCTCTTTATGAATTTGCTCATTCTGGAATCACAATATTTGGGCTCTTAAAGTTTTTTTATTTTTATCTTTATTTTTTAAATATTTGTGCTTTTTTTTTTAAAAGATTTTATTTATTTGAGAGAGAGAGAGTGAGACAGAGCATGAGAAGGGGGAGGGTCGGAAGGAGAAGCAGACTCCCCTCTGAGCACCGAGCTCCGAGCTCCGATGCAGGACTTGATCCCCGGACTCCGTGATCATGACCTGAGCTGAAGGCAGTCGCTTAACCAACTGAGCCACCCAGGCACCCTAATGTTTGTGCTTTTGCATCTGGCTTATTTCACTCAGCATAATGCTTTCAGGGTTCATCCATGTTGTACCCTGTATCAACTTAATTCCTTTTTATGGCTGAATAATATCCCATTGTGTGATTATACTATGTTTTATCTAATCATCTGTTGATGGACACTTGGGTTTTTTTCCACTTTTGGCTATTGTGAA